GGAGGATAGATGGATGGAAGAATAGAAGGAAAAGATGGATGGATGGAAGGAAGGAAAGAAGAAAAGCTGGATGGATGGATAATGGAAGGAAGGATACAGGGAGGATGGATGGAAGAATAGAAGGATGAAAGGATAAATGGGTGGGTGGGTGGAAGGAAGGAAGGATGGAAGGAAAGAAATACAGAACAATGGAAGGAAGGAATTATGAATTAATGGATGGAAAGATGGATGGAAGAATGGAAGGAAGAAAAGCTGGTTGGATGGAAGCAAGGATTGGAAGGATGAAGAAAGGACGAACGGCCGGGAAAACATCCCAATGAAAAAGAAGCTTGCATGGAAGAAGCCCCTCCCCCCGTGCGCTCCCAATCCAGCTCCCCCTCCCCTCCTCCGCCCACAGATCCGGTCCTGGGCTACCTGATGAAGGGCTTGTGCGAGAAAGCCCTCGCCTCCATCGCCGCCAAAGCCATCCACAACATTTGCTCGGTGTGCCGGGACCACATGGCCCAGCACTTCACCGGACTGCTGGAAATCGCCCGCTCCCTGGACTCCTTCATGCTCTCGCCCGAAGCAGCTGTCGGACTCTTGAAAGGTACGGCCTCCCTCCTTCCTTCCAGCCCCAGGCCAGGTCTCACCCACCTCAGCTGGGGAGAGCTTTGGGTGGCAAAGCCCGTAATATTGCTGCCCTGACTGGCTGGTGATATGGCCTGTCGGCTGCCAGCCCCTCCCAACAGCTGAATGAGAAGAGGCAGAGGAGGGCGAGGGGGAGTCGGGGGAGGGAGAGGGAGGGAGAGCCAACAGCCCCGGAGTCTGGCAGTGGCTGATGAGGAACAGGAGGAACATCTGGGTCCAGTGCCTGACGCTCAGATGCTCAAAAGGCAGAGAGGAGAGGAGAGCAGTGGAAATCTATGGGCCGGCCCTCGGGACGGAAGAGCCATCACTGCTAGCAAAGCCCCACCTGAGCCCTGGGGATAAAAGGCAGAGGGGTGGAGATGAATAGCGGTGATAGATTATCTCCTGGTCAGCCTGGGGTGAGAGAAGGAATCCTCGATTTAAATACAGAGGGGTTTTTCATGTTTGGGGAGCTGGGTCGGAACAGTTTGATGGACTCCTGTCCATCCTCTCGTCGGGCAGGGACGGCGTTGGTGCTCGCCAGGCTCCCGCTGGAGAAGATCTCGGCCTGCCTCAGTGAACTTTGTGCCGTTCAGGTGATGGCCCTGAAAAAGGTGAGTGGACGGGAGGCCCCTGTGGCTTTTTTTGAAGGTTGGCTAGGATAGGAAAACGATTTATCTGCCAAGGAGCTTAGAGACCTGGGAGCTATAGAGCACCTACCTCTTGGTCACCTACCTGTTCTTGTTGTCTTCGGGGAGGCGACAAGCTTTGGAAAAAGTCCTTTGAGGGAAGTGTGCTCAAGGCACCAGGGTTAGAAAACTGGGAGACGGTGAGTTCTAGTCCTGCCTTAGGCATGAAAGTTGGCTGGGTAATTTTGGGCCAATCACCAGGAGACGAGGAGTTCTAGTCCTGCCTTAGCCATGAAATCTGGCTGGGTAATTTTGGGCCAATCACCAGGAGACGGTGAGTTCTAGTCCTGCCTTAGCCATGAAAGCTGGCTGGGTAATTTCCTCTTTTTCAGTCTAACCCTAAAGGATTGTAGGGAAAATAGGAGAAAAGGGTATTTGCCTCCTTATAAAAATATTAAAGGCAGGGCATGAAATAAACTCCACTTCTCCGACTGCCTTTTGGGACCCGTGGAGCTGGGAATTATAGGTTGTTGTAGTGCACATCCTTCCAAGTTATCTCTTTTAGTATTTATTTGATTTGTCAATCGCTTACAAGATACAGGTATAAGAATAAACATAGTTATGAGTACATGAGATAGATTCTTATAAGAAAAATAAAAAAGAAACAATAGGACGGGGACGGTAGGCACGTTGGTGCGCTTATGCACGCCCCCTACAGATCTCTTAGGAAAGGGGTGAGGTCAATAGTAGACAGTCTAAGGTTAAAGGTTTTTGGGGTTTGGGGAAGAAACCACAGAGTCAGGTAGAGTATTCCAGACATTGACCCCTCGGTTGCTGAAGTCTTTGGAGGGATAGGACGGATCAAGAGCTAACATATACACCAGGACTGAATTTGGATATTTGGAGTTATTTGGAATCTTTGGGATTTGGATATTTGCAGTTAGAGATAGAGGGGGGTTAATAAACGTCTGAAATAAATAAACTTTCCTTTCCATGGAGTGACTGCAGCTAGAATTGTATTTGCACAAAATTGGAAAAAAATGAAAAAGATTCCAACAGAAGAGAATGTGATTAAGGAAAATATTAGAATGGGCAGAAATGGACAGATTAACACTTGCAGTTGAAAAGAAGGAACAAACTGAATATTAAAAAGATATGGGAACTATTTTATCAATGGCTAGAGAAAAAAAATACGAAAGCTAGAAATCATTGTTAGGCCAGGGAAAAATACTAAAAAAAAATATGTTACTAGATTTGAATGTGTTAAGAAGACGAATGTGCAAATAATAGAAATAATTTGTATACCAATATGACAAGATAAGAATAGAGAATTAATATTAAAATAATGAATATGGTTGTCAAATTTAATTGTTACGGCACAAGATTTTTGTATCCAGACGACGCGCCATTAAATGGAAGATGAATTGAATGTATGTATTTTGAACAAAATTTAAAAAGTTATTGAAATAAAAGAAACTTTTCCCCACCTGGGATGGCCCTGCATGTCCCGCCCTCTCTTCTTCAGCTGCTATCTCAGGAGCCGAGCAACGGCCTCTCCTCTGACCCCACCGTGCCCCTGGACCGCCTCGCTGTCATATTTAGGTAAGCACCTGGAGTTGGGATGGGGTGGGGTGTCTGAATGCCGGGGCAATAGCTTCTTTGACGCCCCCCGTGTCTTAATGGCAGCGTGTCTTCAACGGTTTGCCCTAAGGCCGTGATGGTGAACCTATGGCACACGTGCCACAGGTGGCGTGCAGAGCCACTTGTGCGGGCACGTGAGCCCCAGCCAAACTTACCTGCACTGCGCATGCGCGCGCGCCCCCCAGCTGATTTTCGGCCCATTTGAGGCTGTTTTCACCCTCCCGGAGGTTCGAGGGAAGCCTCTGCAGCCATTGGAGGCCGAAAAACGGGCCCGTTTCAGCACTTGGGGTATTTCCAGAAAGCCTCTTTTTCGGCCTCTCGAGGCTGCAGAGGCTTCCCTTGAGCCCCCAGGAGGGAGAAAATGGCCTCAAACGGGCCGAAAATCAGCTGGGATGTGCATGGATGCGCAGTGCAGGTAAGAGGGTGGGGTGTTGCACGCGCAGGGGAGGTGCATTGCATGGTGGGTGGCGGCACACGCCTGCGCTTTCGGCACACCACAACCCAAAGGTTC